CTATGCGCGGGATCCGGGGAAGGACCGGACCATAAGGGCCTATTGTATACAAAAAATATACAAATTTTATACATTTTTTGCTATTATTTTTACAGCAGTTATACAGTGCCATTTCTCCTTTTAATTACTGCGCTAAAAGACATGATTAAAAACAAAAATCCAGTAGGCATTCAAAATTACAAACACCATTTCGATTAATAGAACCAATTGACATTAATAATTTGCTTGAGGACAAACCATATTCGATTAGACTAATGACTTAAGCTTTTTAAATTTATGATCGAATCGAACATCTCCAAATGTTAGATGAACATAAAAGATCCTCAGAGACGGATCTAGAAATTAAATTTTATAGGTTCAACCTTTACGGTTTTTAATATTGAACTCATTGTATTTTTAAATTATGAGTTCATATTGCAATATTAATGATTTTTTACACATAAACTTATGCTCCGCGTCAAAAGTATTGGATTTAGTTGAACCGTGATACATTGCATCCGTCTCTGATCATACTCGAGCATTTTATTGGACACCTGACATATTCGTTGTGTTCAACGTAACAATGTTGCAATTCCAAGCAAGTAAATCGAGATTGACTATATGTAAATTCTCACTGTGCATATCGCTTCATTTAATCACGTCTCAGTTAAAAGAACAAGTAGAAATGATTAAAAATGAAAATTTAATTAGCCTCAAGAATTACAAACACCATAAATGGTGATGATAAGAACTCTTACCTGAAAACAAAGCAAATTGCATTAATTTGTTTGTTGACAAATCATATCCAATTAGACTAATGACTTAACATTTACATGAACATGAGGAATCTATACTCGAGCGTTTCACTAAACAGTTGACACGTTCAATTAAATTCAACGAGCAACAATAACAACATTTCAACTTCAGTTTGAATATATAAGAATCCTTACTGTCCATGTTGCTCCATTTAAGTCCGTCTAATCAGTTCAAAGAGCGATCATGGAAAGTTCACGAAAACTTTCCTCGTCTGTCTCTGAGAACTGAGAATGTCTAGCAAGAGTAATCCTCTCACAAATAAGCCGGACTGCTCTCTCCCACCGCGTACTGCTACCACCACCACCACCACCACCGCCATCCGAGCCACCAGTAGACTGATCAGTAGTAGTGTTAAAAGTTATTTGACTCATTTGAAAAGAAAAAAGCCTCAAAGAATAAACTAAATCTGAGTAAACATGACCAATTGGTCTACAACTAAAAGCTGCTAGTTTCAAAATAAATGGCCATAATAAACTAACAAGTAGTGGAGAGCTTAAACTATGAGAAGATGTGGCCAAAAGATTAATTTTTCCAATAATCAGAAGATGTAAACCCATAATTTCTGATGAGTGAAGACTGAAGAGTATACTTTCTTGAGAAGAAAATATGGGTGCAAGTGGAAATCAAGAATTGGAATGGCTTTGGAGAATATTTTTAGATATATAAAAAAGAATATATTGAAGAAGAAAGAATAGTGGGAAAAAGAGTTGGTGTAAACAAGAATCTTTATGTCAACATCTTTATAAATAGTTTCTCAAACGGCTGTTATAAATGTTGATATTGGGTAAAAGGAGGAAGAGTTAAATTATACTAGTAATATATAATGAGGCGAATTCATAATTTGAATTTAATGAGTTTAACTATGCACATAATTCTTACAAATAAAATTGTAGATTCAGATCTAATATTTGTTGAGATTTTAATAGATTTTTATATGTATTTATGCATGGTATCAAAAATTCTCGGTTCAGATGAATCCACATCCGCCTCTATCGATGGGGACATTATTTTACACTCTCAGTACAACTCACGATTTATAATATATTATTAATCTATTCTTTAATTAATCATATCTGGCTTAATGCACAGATGTACGTAGCTCAAACTCTTCAAAAATATTGATGTATTCATGTCGGATCTTCTGAGGTATATCACTTTTGGAAAATCCAACACATAACTCGATAATATCTTTGAAAAGTGCGAGCAACATAGCTCTAAATAAGTAATAGTATCTTGTTAATGAGAAATTTTGAGGGCTTGCATTTATGAAGAACTATCGTGTAAATTTAGCTAAATTCTATAATCATTCTAAAGGCCATTAAAAAACTTTCGTCTTTGGAGCTGTTGGAGTTTCTAAATAATCTAACTTGGAGTTGCATGCAAATTAATACGTAAATTGATTGTGTTCGAAACTTTGATCATTTCATATGATGATAATTTGCCGTCGAGGAATCTTGGAGCAACGGTAAAGTTATCATCGTATAAGACCTATATGTCACGAATTCGAGGTGTGAAAATAGCCATAATAGTTACATTAAGATAAACTATCTACATCACGCCTCTTGGAGTGCGATTCTTTCTCGGATTCTGTATAAATACCAAATATTTTGTCCACTAGCAACTGAAATGTCAAATGTACAACTTAATTCAAGCCATTATTACAGTAGTTGAATATGTCATGATTTTACATTTTACTTGGAAGTCAATTTTGGATTTCAAATAATTGGTAATATCATATGACAGGCCTTTGGATATCACATCACGTGAAATGGGACAAAGATTTGGGGCCTAGTCGAAATTTCCAACGAAGTTTCCTTTTTAAACTTCATTAGAAATTTTGCTTTGGAATTTTGTGGTAATAGAGTTATGGCCACACGTGGCTATATTTCAGATTACATCTGACAATGTGAACCAATATGTGATGGATATATCATACACCAAATCCTTAATAATGTTCCATCCCATCCTTATTCTGAAATTGAATTTTGTGGATTCGAGTTAAGAATTCTGGTATAATAGGTTTTATTTTTATTGGGGTTCATAATCTATGTTTTTATATTAGTTTAGTGATATTTGATGTATATATAAAATCTGAATCAAAGTTATTGAATTCGAGCGAATCATAAACTAATATACTAGGTCTGCCCTTGAACTTTGGGTATCACCTAAGGAAATGTCATCACTTGTCGATGATATAAAAGAAATATGTCAGCACCTTCGACTCTTCAAATGAATCTTGCTTTCGCTCAACTCGACTATTTTACTAAATATTTGTTATTTAGATAAATCTGTACAGTAGACTTAGGCACATTACCCAGCATATCTTTTGTATGTGCTGAAATTTGAATTATAATCTCCTATGACTATCACCTACTTCATTGATAGTACGTGCAAAGGCCATTTTGAATGTGATAAGTCGAACATCCCATATATTAAAATTTTGTGGATTCGAATTTAGAATTCTAGCACAGCCGGGTTTAATTTTTATTGGGTTATAGTTTATCTTTTTATACTTTGTTTAGTGATATTTAATATATACTATATAGGATCTGAATCAAAGTCGTTGGACCTAAAAACCCTAAACTACTACACTAGGTCTGTCCTTGAACTCTCGTATCACCTAGGAAAATGTCATCACTTTCGATGATATAAAGGAAATAAATTAGCGCATTCGACTCTTCAATTGAATCATATTTGCGTTCAGCTCGACTATATATTCTACTGAATATTTGTTACCTCTCATTCACATAGGAATCAGATAACAACACACTAGACTTAGGCAAATTATCTAGCATATTTTTTGTATGTGCTGAAATTTGAATTATAATCTCCTATGACTACCACCCACTTTAGCGATCGTATGTGCTAAGGCCATTTTGAATTTGATAAGTCGAACATCCCATATATTAGAATTTTGTGGATTCGAATTTAGAATTCTAGCCCACCTGTTGAGAGATTATTTATAGGATGGGATTTCAATGATCATATTGGGACGACTGCAGGCGGCTATGGCGAGGTGCATGGTGGCTGCGATTTTGGGGATAGGAACGCATGAGGTACTTCGTTGCTGGATTTCGCAAAGGCATTTGAGCTGGTGATTGCTAACTCTAGTTTTTCAAAGAGAGAGGAGCATTTGGTTACTTTTCAGAGTACGGTGGCGAAGACTCAAACTGACTAATTTCTCCTTAGGAGGGGTGACAGAGGGCCGTGTAAGGATGGAAAGGTTATCCCGTGTGAGACCCTCGCGATGCAGTATAGTCTCTTGGTGATGGATGTCGGTATTATGATGAAGAGGAATGCACGAGGTCGACCGAGGATCAGGTGGGGAATCTTGACTAAGGATAAAGCTCAGGAGTTGGAAGGGAGGTTATCAGCTGTGGGAGCATGGAGGAGTAGTGGGGACGCGAACGATATTTGGTCGACGATGGCAGATTATATACGGGAGGCAGTGAGAGAGGTGTTGGGAGTCTCGAAGTGTTAGGCTGGCAGGCACAAAGGCGAATAGTGGTGGAATAAAGTGGTCCAAGATAAGTGGAAGCAAAGAAGGCGGCGTACCTGAAGTTAGTTGGGAGCACATGCGAGGTTGAGAGGAGTGCGAACAGGGAGAGGTATAAAGTAGCTAGGAAGGAGGCGAAATTGGTGGTTACGGAGGCTAAGACTGCGGTTTTTAGTCGTCTGTACGAGAAACTAGGGGCCAAAGGCAGGGAGAAGAAATTATTCTGACTGGCCAAGGCGAGAGAGAGGAAAGCCCGGGATCTGGACCAAGTGAGGTACATCAAAAACAAGGATAGTAAAGTATTGATGGGAGATGCCCAGATTAAGCGGAGATGGTAGACTTACTTTCATAAACTTCTGAATGAAGAAGAGGATCATGATATTGTGTTAGGTGAGTTGGGGCTTTCTAAGAGCCACTGCGATTTTGGGTATTGCAGGCGCATTAAGGTCGGGGAGGTCATGAAGGCTATGCGTAATATGAGCAGGGGCAGAGCTACCGGGCTTGATGAGATTCCGATAGAATTTTTAAGGTGTGTGGGTAGAGCAAGCTTGGAGTGGTTGACTGGGTTGTTTAATATTATTTTCAGGTCGAAGAGGATGCTGGACGAGTAGAGGTGGAGTACGGTGGTTCCGTTGTACAAGAACAAATGTGACATCCAGAGTTGCAACAACTATAGGGGCATCAAATTATTGAGTCATACTATGAAAGCATGGGAGAGGGTAGTAGAAGCGAGGGTGAGCAGGACGGTGCCTATATCAGACAACCAATCAGGTTCATGCCGGGCCGTTCTACTACGGAAGCTATCCACCTTATTAGGAGGTTGGTAGAACAGTACAGGGATCGGAAGAAAGATTTGCACATGGTATTTATTGATTTGGAGAAAGCGTATGACAAGGTTCTAGAGAGGTTCTTTGGAGATGCCTAGAGGCTAAAGGTGTGCTGGTTGCTTACATTAGGGCGATTAAGGACATATATGATAGAGCTAAGAGTCGGGTTAGGAAAGTGGGAGGTGAATCTGAGCATTTTTCAGTTGTTATGGAGTTACACCAAGGATCTGCACTCAGCCCATTCTTGTTTGCTCCGGTGATGGATGCACTGACACACCATGTTCAAGGAGAAATGTCATGGTGTATGTTATTCACTGATGACATTTTTCTGATTGACGAAACACAGGGTCGCGTTAACGATAGGCTGGAGGTTTGGAGACATGCCCCTGAGTCTAAGGCTTTAAAGTTGAGCAGGACGAAGATGGAGTATCTTGAGTGCAAGTTCAGTGCTGACCCGAGGGAAGCATGGACGTGCGGCTTGGATCGCAGGTCACTGCCAAGAGAGGAAGTTTCAAGTACCTTGGGTCGATTATCCAGGGAGATGGGAAGATCGACGAGGATGTCACAAACCGTATAGGGGTGGGATGGATGAAATGGAGGTTAACATCTGGAGTACTGTGTGACAACAAAGTGCCTCCGCTACTCAAAGGTAAATTTTATAGAGTTGTGGTTAGGCCGACCATATTGTATGAGGCTGAGTGTTGGCTATTTAAGAACTCACATGCCCAGAAGATGAGAGTAGCAGAAATGGGGATGTTGAGGTGGATGTGCGGGCACACTAGGATGGTAGGATTAGGAATGAAGATATTCAAGAGAACATGGGCATGACTCCTATGGATGACAAGATGCGGGAAACGAGGCTCAGATGGTTCGGGCACGTACATAGGAGGATCTTGGATGCCTCGGTAAGGAGGTGCGAGCGGTCGGCGTTGGTGAGTATGAGGAGTGGTAGAAGGCGGCTTAAGAAGTATTGAGGTGAGGTGATCAGATAGGATATGGTGAGGCTTCAGATCTCGGAGGACATGGCACTCGATAGGAAGCTGTGGAGGTCGAGCATTAAAGTTGTAGGTTAGGAGGTAATTGAGTTCATTTAGTCTACTTGTGTGAGGCTAGGCTAATTAGGATTTAGTCTTAGACTGCTAGTGGTCAGTGTTGTGTTTACGCTACTCTTCCGCTTTCATAGTGTCGGACCTTATTTAATGGTTATTATTTTTGCTTTCCATTTATTCATTGGTTCTTATGATGTTGTTATTATTTTCATGATTTTTATTGATGGTACTGATATAATGTCTCTTTTTATCTTTTCGTCTTCTTGAGCCGAGGGTCTATCGAAAACAACCTCTCTAGCCCATCCCTCCCCAAACCTCACTTGTGGGACTATATTGGGTCATTGTTGTCGTTGTTGTTGTTGAATTTAGAGTTCTAGCACAATCGGTTTTAATTTTTATTGGGTTATAATTTATCTTTTTATACTTAGTTTAGTGATATTTAATGTATATTTAGGATCTGAATTAAAGTTATTGGACCCGAAAAAACCCTAAGCTGCTATACTAGGTCTGCCCTTGAACTCTAGGTATCACCTAGGCAAATGTCATCACCCGTCGATGATATAAAGGAAATAAATTAGCGTATTCGACTCTTCAATTGAATCTTATTTGCGTTCAGCTCAACTATTCTACTGAATATTTGTTACCTCTCATTCCCATAGGTATCAGATAATTGCACACTAGACTTAGGCACATTATCTAGCATATTTTTTGTATGTACTGAAATTTGAATTATAATCTCCTATGACTATCACCCACTTTATTGATCGTATGTGCTAAGGCCATTTTGAATTTTGATAAGTCGAACATCTCATATATTAGAGTTATTTTCATGAAAAATCGCTTCAAGCTTTAATCTTGGGAAAAAATAACAAAAATGGTGATTTTCTGTCTGGCTTCTTCTTGTAAAATTTGTTTATGTTGTCAATTAAATTATGCACTTAGCAGGCTGAGGTTTTTTTTTTTTTTTTTTTTTTAAATTTATTTAATTGATGAAAAGGTTGTTTACCCAAAGCAACGAGATGATGAGAAAGTGTGAAACTTGCAAGTCTCAATTATCTAAAAAGATAAAATTAGTTGAGCGCAAAAAAGGGATTAAATCTAGAAAAGTTTCCATTATAAATTGCTTAATATAATTTAATGATCTCTTTTTTCATTATAGAAAATCTCCTCTTTAAGTTTGTTGGACCAAAAAAGGTACAAATGTACTTTACGATTTGGATATTTTTGTAGTATTCTCTTATCTTATGGTCAAATCAATCTTGTAAAGCAATACTAGTACTTAATTAAGAAGCCAAGTTATTCATTTTAGATTGCCTACTTTTGTTCGTTTGCTTCATCTTTTATTTCTTTTTCTTTTTTTCTTTTTTCTTTTATACATATACTACTAGTACTAAAGACTGCGTTATTTTCAGAACTGCCAAAATAAGATGATTTGGAATAAGCCAATGACTAAAAATGACATTTAAATATTATGTTTCTTAATTAGTGGAATTGTCGCACTTGACAAATATTCTATTGCGGGAAGGACAAGGCAATTAGGCAAAGTTTCAATGAATAAAATAATAGTACTAATTAGAGCATATCACTAATTGAAAAAAGAGTCATTGTCTTCATCTACACTCTAAATTGAAATAATCAATAAAGGATCAATCAAAAATATGCTGCAAACTGCAAAGCATAAGTTTACTTTCTATACACAAACAATATAGAAGGATTTTCACACTATTAAATTAGCTAAAAGATAATTACATAAAATGACTGATAACAAATTAAACTAATCAACCCCAATATCAGGAGGACATCAACTATCTGGATCTTTATACAAATAGTCGGTCATATTCATTGTTTATATTTTCTAGTTATATACATAAATTATACATAATTATACACATATAATACATAAGTTATGTATATATTATACCTTTACGGACTATTTTTAGTTTAAGCGGTTGGATGAGCGACAAGTTGGGTTAATTCTTCAAAAAGAATAAAAAAATCTTTACCTAAAGAATAAATTATTGACCAAGAGTTATTGGGGGTAAAATTCACAAATAGTCACTTATTTCCACGAAGATTCAAATTTCATAGGGGCCACTTCATCATGTTGTGATGGAACTCCATGACAATGACTATTTTTTTTAATTATAAGACGGAAAAGTGGTTAGTGGGCTATTTTTATGGCATTGGCCAGCCGACCAATGCTAATTGCATTTGCTTGCCAAAAAGGTATAAAATAAATATATTTTTTTATATATAAAATACATATATATATATATATATATATATATATACNCTCTTATATCTATGAGTTATTGTATCGATATATGAGCAGACATAGCTGGGCCGGCCCTATTCCGAAATATGGGCCAGGTCCAGTTTATAGAGATGGGCTGTATATACTCTTTGTCGGGTTGGTGGCCCAATTACCAAAATTTTAGTACTGCGCACGCTAATGGCTGCTCCTCCTCCTCAAGAAGTAAAGAACAAATTCAACAATGGTGATATGATCCGTAAATTGACAGAGGGCGGAAGAATGATAAGGGGAGCAGCTTTATCGGAATGTATATTTTGCCAAATTGCTACCTCTTCCGCTTCCACCACTCTCCTTCACTCCGTAAGATCATATTTTCACACACACACACACACACACACACAGAGTCGATGTAATTTAATTTTTTTTTTGCTTTAATTGATTTTTTCAGGATGATAAAGTTGTGAATTTCACACGCGCACACACACACATACACAGTAATTTGAGATTTTGTAGCTTTAATTGATTTTTAGGGATGATAAAGTCGTTGCATTTCACTCACACACTGAGTAATTTAATTTTTTTTAGCATTAATTGATTTTTGCAGGATGATTAAGTTGTTGAATCTCTCGCACGTGCGCACACACACACACACACAGAGCAATTTGAGATTTTGTAGCTTTTATTTGATTTTTAGGGATGATAAAGTCGTTGCATTTCTCTCTCACACACGCAGTAATTTAACTTTTTGTAGTTTAATTTGATTTTGCAGGATGATAAAGTTGTTGCATTTCGAGATATTAATCCATCTGCCTTCAGGTTCTTCAAATTATCATCAATTCTTTTTCCTTTGTCTTTCACCTGAATTTTAATTTCAATCAATTACTCAGCCTCAATCACAAACTAGTTGAGCTTCGCTTTTAAAAATCTTCTGAATCTTCATCATAATTTGAGCACTTGTCTTCTTTATGCTGGTTTGGGCCAGAGTATGCTGTGTGAAGCTCAGAATATAGGAGTTTTGAATTCAATGTGTAACTTATTGAAGAAAGTTATGATCATTTTCTAGTGCTTCTTAGTTAATTGATGAGAACGAACCTTTCTTGTGAATACTATTTTGGTATGTTCAGGTTTAGTTGTTAACAGTGCTTTTGAAAGAGCAAAGCCAGAAAAGCACAAGGTCCATGAGGCTTGAAGCAAGAACTGAAGTGCACAATGTACGAAAAATTAAGAAATATTATATGAATACTAGTACTATAATAGTTAAATTGCGATTAAATGAATTAATGTCAGCATCCAATGTACAATGATGCCGACACCTATCCAACTCCTGAAAATTTAGATTCAAAGAACTGACCGCTTCTCATTTGGATCGCTGTGCACGTCATTGTTTGAAGCACGCATTTCTTTGAATCGCATGGCTTCACCCATGAAATGAAAAACGATGGGTGTTCATAGATGCTGTGAATCCTATTTGCTGAGTTCCTTTTTTTTTTATTGCATTTTTACCAATAACTTATCCAATTCATCATACTGAATGATACTGGCTGAGGGACAGAGGAATACTTATTTCCTGGGTTTGTAGTTAATTAGTAATCTGCCAGATAATTTTGTAGTAGTTGTGTGTAGATGCCCATGTTAATGGATACCCTTTTTTTTTATTAGCTAGGGCAGCGTGTGACATTTAGACACATCATTTAGCTATACTAGAGTACAATTTGGCAGATTCAACTTCCGATTCTCAAGTTGGTATGACGACTCATTTGGAGTAAAAGATTTATTCTTTTCTTGAGACTCGTATGAAATCAAACTAAGTCATTAAAATGGGAGGGAGGACTATGAATGATGTCAAGCATAGTCATTAGAAGTGGAGGGAGAGCTATGAATCTCATACTTATTCTTCAAAGCTAGTACTGCTTGCCTTTTGTTTGGCATATTATTTTGGTCCATCAAATATATTTACCATGAGGTTAAACAAAATTTAGAGATACCTCTGTACAGTTGTATTTGTTCTCCATAAATTTTGGAAACTTTCAATCGGTATAGTCAATGCAATGTTGGAATATGTCTTAGCCAACTTATTACGCTGATATGTGATGTCAGTCATCTATATGCACTTCTGTCACTCACATAGCATGTAAAGTTGCAAAATCCTTTGTAGTTATCTCCTGTTAATAAGTTGTTTGAACTCAAAATCTGATAGGCATTACTTGGTAATTCCAAAACAGCACATTCCAACTGTCAAAAACCTTCAGAGAAGCCCGGAAGATTTCTCCTTGGGTAAATTAAACTTTCTGAAGCATACTTACCACCTCATTTTCTTTTGAAATCCTTAAGCTACTTTATTTCTTTGTATTCACACTTCTAACTTGCAGCTTCTATTTCTTACAGTGAGTCACATGTTAGATGTCGGGAAGAGTCTGTTACATAGGGATGCACCTCAGTGCAAGCATTACAGGTAAAGGACTTACATCTTCAGTTGCTCTACTGTTATTCTATAATTCGTAGTAGTAAGTAGTAACATAACCAAGCCTAATACTCCTGAAACTTTCTTCAATGACTTTGCAGAATAAATGCTGGGATCTAAACCAGTGCTTAATCCAATGATATAAGGACTTTAATTTGTGATTCTAGCTTTTTTCTTTATTATGTTGTTCCTTATTGTCTGGCACTTGTATTGAATTTTTGGTGCCAATCAACACAACCTTCTGTGGATGAAGAAATACATTTTACAATCTTAAGCTGCTAGTTGTTAGTACTGACTTGTGACTACAAATAGAGAACACAGCCGCAACAATCTAGTCGATTCTCTCTAACATACAAGTCATAACCAATATATATTTCTAAGTATCCTCACATGTTTTTGATATTTTAAGAATCTTACTGTTACTTTATATTTTGGCATGCTTAACATAAAAAGGCTTGTACCTGGAGAAGGAATCTTTTTCATTCATATTTTTCCATTATCGCAGATTTGGTTTTCATCAGCCCCCATTCAACAGTGTTGATCACCTTCACCTCCACTGCTTTGCACTTCCTTATACTCCAAGGTACCCTTTTCTCTACATGCTTAAACTGCCCTGGATACTCAAGAATATTACCTTGTCCAAAATTTTGAATTTATTGGAAGTATTGTATATTCCTTTTTCTGATTTTAAGACATTCAACAGCTGGAGGTTTATAAAATACTTATCATTGGGGCCACTCGGTGGATTTGTTGAAGCTGAAAAGCTATTGGAGAGAATAAAGCCACAAATTCCTCATCACTCATCTATGTAATTGTCTGTAAATTTGCGGTTTCTAATTAAAATTGGCAAATGTGTAAGTAATCTGCTAACTATTCTTCATCAATATATACATGTGTAAAATTCAGTAATTAACCTTGAGAATGATCTTGCTACAGAACCTGACTATTCAATTATATTTCTTGATTGAAAAATCAAAGGTGGATTCAAGAACTTCTTTAAGTTCCACACTTTATTTCCTTTCATGTCTCGGGTATTTCATGCTTCGTATCAGAATCGCTGTAAGAATAATAATCTCCTGTGGAAGTGAAAATGGCTTGTCTGCATAGTTACTTCTGTCTTTTAAATGAGTGTACTAAAAGGGATTTCTGTTTACGTGTTTGTTGCTTACGTACTTTTGGTAGCAGGTCAGTCCTTGGCCTTTTTATAATATTAACTACTGGTTTTCTTCTTTCAAGAAAACCGTGCATGCAATTAGTCAGAATCTCTTACATTTCACAAGTAAAGGTGAGCTGTGTATATGGATTTGGGTTCATTAGCATTGGTCAAAATAAATTGCAAATACTGTGTCATGTCAAATCTGTGTTGCTTTCCCTTTAGTGCCGCGAGAAACCAAAAAACTGAAAAACCTTGTTCACATCCTAGCTTTATCTATTTTTATTTGTGTTTTGCTTTGTACTCTAGGATCTAGTGCAACAATTAGATTATATTATCAATGTCCAGTCCTCACGGTAGATGTGTCTTCCCGAGAGCAAGTGTAGATCTATTATAACCTAAATTATTCTACCATTAACTTTTAACTTCTTACCTCTCCCCTCCCTGGCTTGATTGTGACAGTGAAGTTTATGAACCAGCTTTAGAGCAATAAGTCATGCTCTGAGCATTAGGTTCTAAATATCATGCGGTAGCTGTTCTCGCTAGGTTGATATAATGTTTTATTCTAGCTCCATTTCATGTTCTAAGCTTTTCTTTTGCTTTAATAAGAGCAGGTTCACCACGGTCTCTGTGCATCAAGGGAAGTCTCATTGGTATAAGTGGTGCTTTAGTGATTTTTCAGATTTGAAACATGATTTTCCGAGTTAGCTTCAGAGATGCCTCTTTAACTTACCCAGAAGCAGTAGATAACTAGGATTATTCATGGGCATTTATTGCAGATTTTGCATCTCCTTTTTATGTGCAGTCCAATACAATTCTCCCCAAATTATTGTCGTATGTTATCCGTCCAACATGCAAATTTTTATGAACGTGATGGACCAGATGAAAGATTGATGTTTCTATTCAAATACAAGGCCCTACGCCTTATATGGGTCATAAAACAAGAATTTATGATGATTTCAAAATTTTCATGTTTTAATGTCCACACCATCTTCATGAATTTGGGCGACGGGCTCCGAATCGCCTAAAGTTTTGTGGGTCCATCAGAAACGACCTAATTAACAATTGTCATTACTTTGCCATGATGGTTTCTCGTTTGACATTTTGGGTCACAAAACAAAAATTCGGGATGATTTTTAATTTTTTGTGTGATAATGCTCACTCTATCTTTGCATAAACCTCGAGCTCTTTTGATTATGCAGCTTGATCACGCCCAACTATGCCTTATAAAAAGGACAAGCGGACGTTGCAAATATAATCTGAGTATTTCGCCCAGAGTCGAACCCACAAGGAATTAACCTATCAATTACTCTTGTCAAACTCACTAAATTCTACGTAATCAATTTCCCAAACGTTTTGAATCACAGTTGAGGATATTTTTACTAACTATGACAGACTGCAATTAAGTAAATAAAGATTAACTATGATTAAGTTGTAAACAATAAAGAGAAGGATCTAAGGTTGTGATTTCTCCTATTGATGGAATCCCTTCCGGTTATGTTTCATATAGATTTGCCTAACAGTTTCTATCGATCATGAGCACTCTTATTACCGTAAATCTCTCCCGAGTAATCACGACAATTTACTAGACGTACTCTCCTGAGTTACACTAGCTGACTATTAATACAACTCACTTTAGATCGCACCCAAAGCTTTGTTATCCCTAATCTCGCTTTTAAACCCTCGGTTATTGATCTCTCATATACTTTGGGAGTGGTGTTGTTCAACAATTACCTAAATATACACTCTCTCCCGAGTAATACATATTAAATAGGCACAGCTAATTGAGGATCCTATCAATTAACTACAACAAAAACGTAGTTGACACAAATAGAGATTAAACCAAGCAATCTATGTTAACATAACAAGAAGTTCATCTTTCAATAGGTTTCATCAAAACCTTAGACTAAACACTTAGCTACTCATACTAGTGTTCATCATAACAACAGCCAAATTTATCACAAATAGTAAAATACAAAAGGAATAAATGAAGAACTCTATGTTGAAGTCTCCTCCTTGCCTCTTGCTTCTCTCTTCCTTGAACACAGCTATCCAGACCTTGATAATCCCCTTTGGGCGAGCTGGACCTCTTTTAGGTTTTGTGGAATTGCCCCCGAACTTCCAAGTACCCTTGAGCTTTATTTTTCCGAAACTGGACTAGCGCGGTCGCGCTAATGAGCGCGCTAATGACCGCGCATATGGCCTACCTTTCTGCCTCGAACTCCTGGGCTAGCGCGGTCGCGCTAGTGGACACGCTAGTCTAGGTCATCATTTCAGCCCTTCTTTCTCTCTTCTTCTCACGTACTAAGCTCCGAGGGGCTTCCCTTGCTTCAATCTAGCTCCAATTACAGTTCTAAGTCCTCATGCACGCAATTCGCTCCTGCAAAACATGAAGTTCATAATTAAAGCTAATTTACCATCATTTAACTATCCTATAACAGTCAAACATGGCCAAGCTGGGGCATAAACAATCGCCAAATTACATGAATCTGGCCTATTATCATAGCCCGATCAAATTCTAACAATATGTGGGTTGTTGTCCTATGTCTTATCATTGAGTGTTCGGTCCTATAAGGCTCGGTATATGTAACTGCTCTGCCGTAGTAGGCTTGCTCGGAGACTAGGCTCAAATGATCACCCTATGAAAGCACAAAAAACAGATCAATATTTAATGTCCACAGCGAGCCTACTCCCTATGTGACTTTATCATTGAGTGTGACTTATGTCGTTGTCCTATGTCTTCCGGTGCGACCTATGATTTTGGACTATGTCGTTGGGGGAGGTCAATGTCTATGGTCTGTGGCAAGGCACTTCAGGGTTACTGATGTTCGTTGGCCTATGGTGCCTAGTGGGCAAGTCAACAAGTAGCGAGGGACATGGTAGCCTACACGACCATTCCGTGCTTCATTATAATGGCATTCCGCAAACTACGTTACACTCAAATATCGTTTTACCTTGTTCTTTTTGTATTTTGTGTATTTCTTGGAGATCTAGTGGGATAAAAAGACGCAAGATGGTTTTACCATGTCAATATTTAAAAGTGTATGTTGTCCTATTCAATTTGTTCCCCTAAATTTGTGCACAATTTTAATTATTCTTTAGTAAAAATCAGATGACCTAAAAGGTTTTCATGATGAAAATCTCATGGTAATGCAGTTTTAATTTCAATTTCAATATTTACACTTATCGAGGTAGATACCTTAGTGAACAATATTAAAGATAAAATGTTTCTACTTATTGTAAAAATGTCAACTTGTGTTTGTTGACTAGCTTGCTCTATTTAACTACTTTAAATTACTCTCTCAACCACCAGGGATCGAACCTCGACAGAAGCATTGAGTAGAGATTATATGAGTAAAATGGAGATAACCCAAAGGTCTTGGGTGGGCGCATGTTGCACTAGTGCATGGTACATGATGCATGGCTGCATATTCCTCCAGGTCTTGGCAGGGCAAATGTAAACCTATAAGCATGGCCTCGTTTTCGGTATCATATGTTCTTTTGTTATTTGCATGGCATGATTTATGTATGTGGTCAACTCGAGGAAAGGTGTGTTGTTACGTGTCACACGGTTGCTTATATCGCTAGCATATGTTATTGGTTGTGGTCTATGTCGCTTGCCTATATCATTGAGCGCGACCTATGTCGTTGTCCTATGTCTTCAGGCATGGCCTATGATGCTGGACTATATCGCTGGAGGTGGTTCATGTCTATGGATTTTAGCTAGACACTTCAAGGTTACTTCTATTAGTCGTCCTATGGTGCCCAGTGGGAAGGTCAGTGTGTACCCGGGACATAGCAGCTTGCACGACCATTGCTTGCTATATTACTAGTGTTCTCAAAACCACGTTGTGCTGTCATATCTGTTTGACATGATTCTTTTTGTATTTTTTGTATAGCTCGGATATCTAGATGAATAAAGAAACGCAATATGTTTTTTTTTTCAATATTTTGAAAAGTGCATGTTATCCTGTTCAATTTGTTCCCCTATTTGTGAACAATTTTCATTTTTCTTAAAAATCAGATGATCTATAAGGATTGCATGATCTATCGTGGTAATGCAGTTTTTAATTTCATTTTCCATATTTGAAATTCAATTTAAGAGAAAAAGGTAGATATTTTAGTGAACATTACTAAGGAAAAAAAGTTTCTACTTATTGGTAAAAATGTCAACTTGTGTTTGTTGTCTAGCTTGCTCTATTTAACTACTCTAATGTACTGCCTTAATCACCAGGGATGGAACCTCGGCGGAAGCATTGAGTAAATGTTATAGGAATAGAATATAGATATGCCAAAGGTCTTGGTTAGGCGCATGGTACACTAGTGCATGGTACACGATGCATGGGTACATATTTGGTAGGTGTATTGACAAATGATTTAATGCTTTAGAAACTAGACTCATATATCTTTATTTGGTAGGTGTATCGACAAAACAAGAGGCCGATTGTTTCTCAATAGTGTTAAGAAAAGCTTGAGTGTCAAGAGAGGGTCACTACAAAATGGGCAAAGGCTTGTAACATGGCTATCAAATGAGAAAGGTCTTAGGCTCAAATGGGTTGACTAGGGATAGCAACATTACTGGGACGTGAAAAATTTCAAGCGGGTTAAGAAGAGCCTACAATCACTTCTCAAGCCAGGCAAAACTTAGAATTTCGCCTAGAAACATATTCGGGGCAAGTTCTAGACTATTCGCACTGGTACATGGACTTGAAACAAAAATCTCACTTCTCACACAGCTGGATTGTTAAAGAGAATAGAGTGGAGAGCCCACAACAACCATATTCAAGATTGAAAATCACTAATGGTTCAACTAAACTACTTGATGATTTCTTAAGTCAACACAAGAGTTAAAACAGTCATTACATAGAGTTATTTTTTTTCCATGAACTTGTTTTTAATCATAAACACGTAGTTAAGTATGTTGGTACCAAGTGAAGCATGCTCGACTCTTCTAGTTCAACTCAATTAGGTCCTCTTATTCATTATTACTACTACTTTTAGTAAAATATCAAAAACGGACTCAATCCCTTAAGAAGGTTGTCACGCCATCCATCATTGGGAAGAGCCATCCGGTTCACACAAAAATCACCTTTGGAAAGAATCGTGTGGCATTAAGAAAACCAAAAACTTATTGATCGAGAATTTAACTAAAGAGGCTACTAGATTAAAAAGAAGCTAGTAAAGTAAAATAATAAGCTATTTAACTAAACATTGACTTGTAAGAACACAAAATAAAGAAGCTATAAAATGAACTACTGAAAGCATAAATGAATATACAAACTAAGAAAGGGAAAGCGAATATATACATCAATAGAGAGAGAAGAATATGTACATAAATAAAAAGGAAAAGAAAATGTTATCAAGTTATTACAGGCCAAATATCATCAAATCAAAATAAACTCCCCCCTCCCCCCAAATAAGAATAAGCATTGTCCCCAATGTTTAACAAAATAAAACTTAAGGAAGGAAAAGAGTAGAGAAGACTATCTATATGGTCTCAGTGTCCGTAGCAGCAACACCACCTTTTTGTTTTGATTTTACATATACCGAGCCTAAATTCTAATCTTTGCTTGATTAGAAGCATCCCATATTTACAATATTTGGAAATCAAGGTTCTTAATCATTTCATTCTTTCCTTTCTCCTCCTTATTTAGTTGATTTCTTATACCTTAGATCCTCAATAGATTCGGATGTATGATTTTTTTATCTTTCTTAGGTGGATAATACCGCAGTTGTTGCTCCAGAAGCTCATGAAGTTGAAGGTTTTTCAGGTTTGACATTCGATCACCTCATGGAAATCAAGCTAGAAAGCATTATAAGCAAAAATCCTCAGATGCAGCTTATCAAGCTTCTCTTAGCCAAGTCTCCGGCGCTGGTGAGAATGAAAATTGAGTCCTGGCTATA